TATATTTTTTAAATCTTACCATGAATCAGATTTTTATAATAAATCCTGGCAACTGTTTAAAGCACTACAACTTTGAGGGCAGCCAAATGCAGAGATGGTAAGAGAATATTAAAATCTATGGCCAAGAACTATAATTCCAATCCACACCTGAGGTTGTATAATGGAAATAACTGGAAATCAGAACTAATTTAAATCCTAACTTTATCAGTCATATACCCCAAAGCCACTGATCATGGAAATGAACTCTTGCTCACCTTTGCTAATTCCGGACCATTATTCCCCCTTTCTAAAAATCTGCAGCTCTTTTGAAATATGTGATATTAAATGATACCCCTGCTTTTTGCTGTTTATAGTCATCTGCTTTTTGTAGTTATCCACTAACTTCCCTCCATTCATTCTAATGTATCCGTTATTATTTCCTTTTCTTCACCATTTTTCTTGTCGTCCTCTTGGTGATTTAATTATTCACAAAAAGGGTCCATCCAATACCCTAGTCTCTTATTTTCTTGAACTTATTTTCTCTAATAATCTTAACCTCCACCCACCTCAGCCACACAGTCCTAGAGTCTTACATTAGACTTTGTCATAACCAATAACTACAACCTCTCAAAATATCACTGTCTATTTTCTAGCTTACTTCCTCTGGCAGTCAGACTCCATTAATGCTTTGATTCCACTAACCTGTAGTCTCTATCAGTCCCCTTCTGTCCTTTCCTCCCTGCTTTCTCTGTTGAGATTGCATGGTCCTTGTAGAATAACTTGCTTGCATATATCATCATGCTCTGTTGTCCCTCTTAATATAATTCTTTGTTTTATCCTTTTTTGGAGAGATGGGGTCTTGCTATATAGCCCAAATCGGTCTCAAACTCCGAGCCTCAAGCGATCATCCCTCTTTTCCCTCCCAAAGTGTTGGAATTATAGGCATGAGCCACTGCACCCAGTGTATTGTCTCTTTCCCATTGTCCTGCTCACTTGGCAAAACCTCAACCCTGGTTAAAACTGATTTTCCTTCATACTCTGCATCGGTATTTGAAAGGCTTAATGTGGCTGGAGAAAATCACGTCACAAACAGTCCCCAGGTGTTGCTAGATAACTCTACCAAATATCCCTGGTCCATTCACTCTCCTCTCAACTTTCTGACACCACCACCCTCTCCTCACTCTCAGTTAGCACTTTTCTTGTTACACTGAGATCACAAACAGAAGAGAGTTTCCTCATCCTTCTACCACCAGCTCTACCAGCCCTTTTTATCTATACTCTGATACTCTGCCACGTCCCCGCTGCCCTGTTACAATAGGGCTGCCCCTGCCCCTAACCAAGGCCAAATATCTGGCCTCCTCTACACTCTCCTCACCCCTCTTTTCTCACAGCCATCCATTCACGCTGGCTTCCTCCGTGCTCACTAAACACACTCCTACCTCAAGGCCCTTGCATCTGCTGTTTCCTTTGTCTGAAATGATTTCTTCATGACCTACTCCCTTCCTCTATTCAGGTCTCACTTCAAATCTTACCTCCTCAGAGAGACCTTCCCTGACTCCCACATCATCTAAAGTAATACCCTTGACATTTCCTATCTACCTCATTTTGCTTTATTTTTCTTTATTATGCTTATTACTATTTAAAATTATATTGGATGTCCATTTATTTGTGATATTACCACTTTCTAAATGCCAGAACCTCACTTTGCAGAATAGTTCTGTCAGGCATAGGTGTCCCATACATGTTTGTTGAATGACGGTGTGATTTTTGTGCCCAAGAGCAAGTTAATATATATTTCCATTTTCTCCATGGTAAAATTGGTTTGCCATTGTTTCACAGGGTATTGTTAAGAGAATTAAAAGAAGCAACAGTTTTAAACCTTGAAAACATTATGTTCCAGCCACGTCTGGTGGTTCACACCTGTAATCCCAGCATTTTTCGAGGCCAAGGCACATGAAGTTTGAGACCAGCCTTGACAACATAGTGAGATCCTGTCTCTTTAAAAAATACAAAGAATTAGTTAGAGGTAATGGCCTGCCTCTGTAGTCCCAGCTACTTGGGAGGCTGAGGTGGAAGAATCATTTGAGTCCCAGTGGTTGAGGCTGCAGTAGGCCTAGATGGTGCCACTGCACTCCAGCCTGGATAACAGAGTAAGACCCTGTCTCAAAAAAATAAAAAAACAAAAACAACATTACACTAAGTGAAAGAGGCCAGACACAAAAGATCACATAGCATGATTCCATTTATATGAACTGTCCAGATAGGCACATCCATAGAGGCAGACAGTAGATTAGTAGCTGCCTGAGCTTGGGGGAAGAAGGATATCAGTGATTTCTAAAGGACATGAGGTTTCTTCCTAGCGTGATAAAAATGCTTTGGAATTACATTGTGATAATGATTGTACAAACTTGTCAATATACTAGACTTTAAAATGGTGAATTTTTAAAAAATAATAATAAAATTTTTAAAAATGGTGAAATTTATAGCATGCAAATTTTATCTCAATTTTTAAAAAGAGAACTATTTTCTTGCCTTATTATTATTTTGAGATAGAGTCTTGCTCTCTGGCCCAGGCTGGAGTGCAGTGGCATGACAGCTCATTGAAACCTCTACCTCCTGGGTTCAAGTGATTCTCCTGCCTCAGCCTCCAGAGTAGCTGGGACTACAGGCACACACCACCATACCCGGCTAATTTCTTTGTATTTTTAGTAGGGACGGGGTTTTACTATGTTGGCCAAGCTGGTCTTGAACTCCTTGCCTTTTTATCATTCTTTATCTTTCCAAGTACTATTCATGGAAAATCTTAATCAAAAAAAAGTGTTTTATTGGAACTTTTAAGAGAGGATTAGAGATACAAATAGCTTGAAAGCTACTTCCTTCGGTAATTGTCAGAAATACTGTCACATTTCCAAATGCCAGTTTTCAATAACACCTTCAATTCTATAGAGTTTTCATTCAGTATCCTCGGTGGGTTGTTTCTAGAATCCCACTCAGATAACGAAATTCACAGATGCTCAAGTCCCTTATATAAAATGGCATAACATTGGCATAAAACCTAGGCACATCCTCCTGTCTACTGTAAATCATCTCCAGATTACTTACATTACCTAATATAATGCCTACATATCACTTCATTCAAGTGGATTCAACACAGCACTCAGTGCATGGCAAATTTGAGTTTTGCTTTTTGGAACTATGTGGAATTTTTTTTCCAAAATATTTTAAATCTGAGGTTGGTTGAATTCATGGATGCAGACCCCACAGATTTGGAGAACCAACTATCTATTCAACAGATAAATAAAAATGTCTTCTTAAAGTTTACTTTTCTCTATCAACTACCAAAAAATTCAAATGCAGACTTACAAAATTAAACAAGTCTTCTGGCCCCCTCAATCTCTCACTTCCACCAAGAAAACAAAAACATTTTTCAGCATTTAGAAATAACAGCCTACTTTCATTTCCTGCTGGAAACTCATGGTTCTTTCATGCAAACAAAACTAAAGAACATTACCCTTGTAAGCAAAAAACTACCTGGAAAAACCATAATTACACTGAAAAAGTAAATACATCTTTTAGCCTTTTGTATTCTTTTACTGGATAATTTTCTCTAAGATAGAAGGTAAGAAGCTATATATTATGTAATCTTTTAGAAATAGCAGAAAACCAATTAAGGGGAGAAATACAAACCAAAAACTACCCGATAACTAACTTTCCTGATTGAAATTATCTTCCGACTGTTCAATTATATGTAAAGAGGGAACTGTGGGTGCACATTTATTACCTTTCTGGTGCCTCATTTTCTTTTTTTTTTGAGACGGAGTTTCGCTCTTGTTACCCAGGCTGGAGTGCAATGGCGCGATCTCGGCTCACCGCAACCTCCGCCTCCTGGGTTCAGGCAATTCTCCTGCCTCAGCCTCCTGAGTAGCTAGGACTACAGGCACGTGCCACCATGCCCAGCTGAATTTTTGTATTTTTAATAGAGACGGGGTTTCACCATGTTGACCTGGATGGTCTCGATCTCTTGACCTCGTGATCCACCCGCCTCGGCCTCCCAAAGTGCTGGGATTACAGGCTTGACCCACCGCGCCCGGCTTCTGGTGCCTCATTTTCATAAGCGCACATACAACTATTAATGACTCTATGATTTTACTGTAGAAAAACTCAATTTTATCTCAGTTGCTATTGTAACTTGTGGTGCATGTATGGAATTATGGCACACACAAGAAAATGAGACATAGTATATACAAGGCCAGATATGTCCATTCAGTGTAGAAATGATACATTCCAAGAAACATATTTCAAGTAGATTCTTTTTTTCTTTCAAGAATGAAGTATGGTATATTCTTCCAAAACAAGAAAGTTTTTAAAGTAACATGTTTTCAAAAGGTTATCAAAGCAGTGAAAGATTTTGATTTTTTTATATTTGAGATAAATACTGATAAATCACATCAGGAATTTAGAATAGTTTCTTTGCTCTGAAGAGTTCTCCCTCCAATTACTCATCAGAAATTCTTTTCTGCATTATTATACTTTCCATGAAGGCTGAGATTGTGTGTTATTCTTTGAATCCATAGGACCCAGCACTGCTCGCTTCTGCCTATCTTTTAAAGCCTGGACATTTAGTCTCAAATTACGTTTCTGTCACCTTCTTAGCATTTTGCTAAACAAGTCATCTAAGAGTTAACAAAGTTATTTCACACACTAGTACTGAATCCAAGATGAAGAATAGAACTATCTATTTTGTCATCAGAATAGACAAAATCACCATCTCTGACTCATTCAAGATGAAGCATAGCCAGGTGCAGTGGCTCATGCCTGTAATCCCAGCACTTTGGGAGGCTGAGGCAGAAGAATAACTTGAGTCCAGGAGTTTAAGGCCAGCCTGGACGACATAACGAGACTCTGTCTCTACACAAAATTAAAAAAAAAAAAATTAGCCAGGCATTGTGGTGTGCACCTGCAGTCGCAGCTACTTGGGAGACTGAGGCTGGAGGATCACTTGAGCCCAGGTGTTGGAGGTTGCACTGGCACCACTGCACTCCAGCCTGGGCAACAGAGCGAGACTTTTTCTCAGGAAAAAAAAGAAATAAACATGATCATTTTCCAAGAGAAGAGCAGCTTGAAAGCTAAGTTTCATTGGATAGTCACTGTCAGAAATGCTTTCACATGCTATATTCTAGTTTTTTGATAGAGTCCTCAAGTCTACATATTAAACAAATAAATACAGTGGCTTCTTAATTAAGAGACAAGAGGAGCCTACTGAGTCATCAGCAACACTCTGATGGTCACTGAAGAGGTCAGTACCCTATAGAATCTCAGTAATTGCTCTGAAAAAAAAGAACTGACAATTCATGGAAAGACCACTTGATTTTATACATCTACAATAGGGTTTCAAACTCAATGCCTATAGGGGCCAGGCAGGTCCTGCCAATGAGTGGTCAAGTCTGGACATAACAACCAGAAGACTTAGTAAAAAAGAACAAGTACTTTCTCGGCTGAAAGGATGGAGAACTATAAAGAATCGTTTCCTCACCCTTTTCCCATGTTTCTTTCTTCCACCCTTTGGCTGAGGAAGTGAGTTTCACATTTTAAAATATACTGCATAGGCTAACTCTGGGTGGGTCAACCAAACACATGCTGCTTGCCAGTTTTTGACATCTGATCTTCAGGGAACAACACACAAAAATTGTTTCCAGAAGAAAGGAATGCGTAGTATCATAATTTAAAATAATCTACCATTAACCTCATGACCCAAAGGGTTAACATCTATGGTCACGATAAGACGTCCCTCTCTTGCCTTATTTTTCATCATTATAATCTCAGTAGAAGCCTCAAGTTTGCACAGAATTTTATGAGTAGTAAACTGTTTTTACTTTACCTCTTAGTCTGATTCTCACCAAAAACCTTTAGGAGTAAATAAGCAGAACAGAGATGACCATAACCACATTCAGATAAGATAGCCGAGACCCAGAAAGGGCAAGCTATTTAATCATGCTGATTCAGGCTTGAGGAGGATGCAACCCCAGTTTCCCAAGCTTCTAGTACAAATCTCATTTTTAAAAGCATGTTTTATTTAATGAAAGTGATGCTTTCTTTAAAATCGTAGATAACATTAAAACATAGAAAGCAGAAATAAACAAAAAGAAAAATCTTGTGTAACCACTCCCAGAGCCACAATTATTAATACGTAATTCAGTTTTCAACTTCACATGAAGAGTAGTTGCTGGGAAACTGTGTTTTCCAATATTTCAACCTCATAAGTGTACTAAAATAATATTCTGGTAATATAGAACAATTATCTTAGAGCATGATGTTTTATTGTAAACAGTATTGGTACTTGCTAGTATATTGGATCTAACATGTCCGAAGAAGAAAAAAGTTAAAAACTTATTTTACAGTGAGAACATCAAATGACACAGTAGGAATGTCATTTCTACCAGGATCTCTGTGAAATTACATTGGTGGTAAATGCTTTTCTTTAAATGCAGGAGAGATTCACCAACCTGAAAATATTTTTTTCCACCGTCAGCAACCTCATAATTTCATGCCCAAAGACTGTTCAAATAAAAAGGGAACAAATCTCCTAACAGAGTTCAATGCCTAAGTCAAGACTGCCCCAAAGCATGAGGTTTTATGTCTCTGTTTACCCTAGAAGTAAATGAAATAAATGCATATTTAATACATGAATCACATTTATATTTGGTTCACATATTATAGACAAGGAGAAACAAGAGAATTCTTTCTCAGATAAAATTTCTTAATAAAAGGTACACCCACAAGTCTGGTTACTTCTCCCCAGAATGCAGTCATAGCAAATACAATATAAAATAAGTGAAAAGCCAAAAAAGCAAACCAGGGTTTTGGATGATCTGGTTCTGGGTTTCAAGTGTTACATTTCTAATTGTAAATGTGAACAGAATGCACAAAGCACCACACCTATTTGGGGATTCTGAAAAGTGAATAGTAGCAGGTGGATTGCAGAAGGTCAGAGTTCAACGGATTACCAAAATGATGACGAGTTTACATTTTTTTTCTTTTTCTTTCAGTATCTCTTAACCTGAATGTAATGCAGCCTTAAACCTGGAAGTGGGCACTGAGACCCAAAAAGGAAGGGCTCCAGGAGAAACCCTCTAGGTTTCTCTTATAGAGCTGGATAGGAACTCCTAATGCTCAGAGAAAATACAGAAGTCCTTGGGGTTTTTTCTTTTCTCTGGTCTGTTGGGTTCCAACTCTCAAGCAGTCTTGTAGGGGTGATGGTGGAGACCACAATAGGAGCCTGCAGGAGCCAACCCTCTAAGAGAAAGGAACCTTTCTGAATGGTGGAACCATGGCCCCAAGAGAGTGGGGCAAGCCCCTGTTTCCTTTTTTTCTCTCTCTCCATCCTTCTGCTACTTGGCCTTGAATGTAAGCACAGTTACAGAAGTGTGCAGCAGAGACAGGTAACTAAAGCATCAGCTTGGTAGCCAACGAACAAAAACAGGGAATACCAGGGGACTAGAAAGAACTATAGAAACTGGGGAGATGGTTTATGAACTCCTGGGCTCACCGATGAGCCCTGCATACATGATTCTGATTCTAATCAGCACACAAAGACTCTGAAATCCAAACTAACAAACATGCCACCATCCAGGGCCCAAAATGGCCACCAGATGACCCATATGTGGGACAAATCTGAATAGCACAACAGAGTCTTAAAAAGCTGAGTTGACATTAGCACCACAGCTCACAGAAAGTGGGCTGAAACTTGCAGCCTTAACCTAACCAGGTCAATTGTCTGCTGAAAAAAAAAAAGAAAAAACATTCACTATGGAATTTAAATATGACCCAGAGTTTCAGAATATAATATTCAATATGTCCAAGAGACAATCCAAAATTACTTGGAGGTAGTCAGGCATGGTGGCTCATGCCTGTAATCCCAGCACTTTGGAAGACTTAGTGGGAGGATCACTTGAGGTCAGGAGTTCAAGACCAGCCTGGGCACCATAGCAAGGCCCTATCTCTGCAAATAATTTTAAAATTACTTGGAGTACAAAGAACCAGGAAAATCTTAACTTGCCTGGGAAATGATAACAGACACCAGTACAAACATAACACAGATGTTGGTATTATCTGACAAAGACTTTTAAACAGCTATTATATAAGTGCTTTACCAAACACTTATGAACACTCTTAAAACAAGTGGAAGATAGAAAGTCTCAGGAAAAAAAAAAAAAAAGGAGACATAAAGAAGAACCAAATGGAAATTTTAGAATTAAAAAATACAATGGCAAAAAAGAAAAAAACACCTTTACTCAATAGGCTCAAAAGAAAGAGATGACAGAGGAAAGAATCAATGAACTTAAAGATATGTCAGTAGAAGTTTTCCAGTCTGGGCCAGGCACAGCAGCTCACACCTGTAATTCCAGCACTTTGGAAGGCTGAAGTGGGAGGCTTATTTAAGCTCTGGAGCTTGAGACCATCCTGGGCAACATAGTGAGGACTTGTGTCTACAAAAAGAGAGAGAAAGAAAGAAAAAGGGAGGGAGAGAGGGAAGGAAAAGACAAGAAAGAAGAAATAAAGAAAAAAAGAAAAAGAAAAGAAAATTAGCTAGACATGGTGGCACATGCCTATAGTCACAGCTACTTGGGAGGCTGAAATGGGAGGAGTGCTTGATCTCAGGGGTTTTCCAGCCTGGCAACAGAGTGAGACCCTGTCTCAGGAAAAAAAGAGAGAGAGAGGAAGAAAGAGAGAGAAACAGAAAAAGAAAACTTTCAATCTGAACAATAGAGGAAAAAATACCTTTTAAAAAACGAATGCAGCCTCAGGGGCCTGTGAGTTAATAACAAATAGTCTAACTTTCCCAGACTGGACAACATGACAAAGCCTTGTCTCTAGAAAAAAATGCAAAAATTTGCTGGATGTGGTGTTGTGTGTTTGTAGTCCCAGGTGCTCAGGAGACAGGAAATCACTTGAGCCTGGGAGGTTAATGCTACAATGAGCTTTGATCATACCACTGCACTCCAGCCTGAGTGACAGAGTAAGACCCTGTCTCAAAAAAAAAAAAAAGCTAACTTTTATGTAATTAGAGTTCCAAAAGAAAAACAGTATGGTGCTGAAAAAACATTTAAAGACATAATGACTGAAAACTTCACAAGTTTAGCAAAAGATGTAAACATAGAGATTTTAAAAATTCAGTGAACTCTGAACAAGATAAAGCCAAAGAAATCCATGCCCAGAAATTATAATCAACTTACTAAAATCTAAAGACAAAAATAACCTTAAGAGCAGCTGGAGAAAAATGATGCATACCTATAAGAGGGACAGTGATTTCAGTGACTGCAGATTTGAGCCGTGGAGATCAGAAAAAAAATGTTGCAAGAAAAGAGCTGGAAACTCAGAATTATATACCCACCTAGCACAGGAATAAAGTGAAATAAAAATATTCTCAGAAGAAGGAAAACTATGATAATTCATTGCCAGCAGATCAGCTCTAAAAAATTGTTAAGTACTTCAGATAAAAGAGAAATGACACTAGAAATAAATTTGATTGGAGTGTTCAACCCACTCAAATTTAATAAAATTATTGATACGTTTCAGCCAGGCATGGTGGCTCACACCTGTAATCCAAGTACTTTGGGAGGCTGAGGTGACTGGATCTCTTGAGGCCAGGAGTTTGAGACCAGCCTGGGCAACATGGTGAAACTTTGTCTCTACAAAAACTTAGCTGGGCATTGTGGTGTCCGCCTGTTGCTCCAGTTACTCAGGAGGCTGAGGTGGGAGGATCACTTGAGCCCAGGAGGCAGAGGCTGCAGTGAGCTATGATCATGCCACTGTACTCCAGCCAGGGCAGCAGAGCAAGATCCTGTCTCAAAAAAAAAAAAAAATTATTGTTATGTTTGGATTTAGGTCTATTCTTTTATTATTTGTTTTCCGCCTGTTCTCTCTGTTACTGTTTCACATTTTCTCTATTCTTTGGGGTTTTAAAATATTTTTTCATATTCCATTTTGATTTATGGCAATTTGGACTCTATCTCTTAGTATAGTATTTTTTTAAATTAGTTGGCCTGGGGATTAATATACACACTTAACTTTTCACAGTCCACTTAAAATCAATATTTTACTGCTTCAAGTGGAATTTAGAAACCTCCCAACATACAGACCTTCTTACCCTCCCCACTCTATAATAGTCTTATCTTTCTCTTATATCTAGGTATGTGTTGAAACCACATCAGAGAATGTTAAAGTTTGCTTTCTTTCTTTCTTTTTTTTTTTTTTAAGTGGAGTTTCTTATTGCCCAGGATGGAGTGCAATGGTGTGATCTTGGCTCATGCAACCTCCACCTCCTGGGTTTAACTAATTCTCCTGCCTCAGCCTCCTGAGTAGCTGGAATTACAGGTGCCTGCCATCATGCCCAGCTAATATTTGTATTTTTAGCAGAGATGGGGTTTCACCATGTTGGGCAGTCAGGTTTCAAACTCCTGACTTCTGATGATCCATACACCTCGGCCTCCCAAAGTGCTGGAATTACAGGCCTGAGCCACTGGGCCTAGTCTCAAAAGTTTTGCTTTCAACCATCAAATATACTTTGAAGAACTTAAAAGGTAAATACTAGTCTACTATGTTTATCTGAATATTTCCTACTTCCATTCCCCTCCTTCATTTTTTCAATGAAATTATTTGGTAGAATGAAAGTGCATGTTTTTCTTCTTAACAAGACTGACCTGGTTACCCACTGCTGAGAGTCTAATCTGCCATTAGCCTAGTCCACACTGAGTCTACTACAGCAACCTTCTTATGGGGGAGCCCAGCACCTTGGTAGCAAGTTGATGGTGCTGGATCTCTTCCAACATGGAGGGAATTTGTTCTCCGTGGACTAGAAACATATTCATAATATAAATTTGCATTTCCTTCCTACAACACATCTGCCAGTGCCATCATCCATGGACTTTGCAGAATGCATTATTCTCTGACATGACTTTGATTCTGTATAAGGAGTTCAATAAAAGACAGGTAGCATAGGATATGTGCTCTAATTTCATGGTCTTAACACTTATCCCATCACTCAGAAGCAGATAACCTGCTAGAATTGGTGGAATGTAGCTGGGTGCAGTGGTATGCAACTATGGTCCCAGCTACTCAGGAGGCTGAGGATGGAGGATTGCTTAAGCTTGGGAGGCAGAGGCTACAGTGAGCCAAAATCGTGCCACTGCACTCCAGCCTAGGTGACAGCGTGCCACCCTGTCTCAGAGAGAGAGAAAGAAAGAGAGAAAGAGAGTTGAATGACCTCCTGAAGGCTTAGTTTGGTGCCAACTGGGAGACAACCTCCTGTAAAAGGATGATGTTTTATTTTACAAAATGTAGTACATACTTTGTATCAGCAACCAATATAGGATATTGTTTATATGGTAGCAACAATATAGGAGTCCCAGAATTAAAGTGTGGCATCACGGAGTAGAAGTTTCTTCTCACTATTATGTCTCAACTGTCTCACAGAACTTGCGATTCCTGTCCCTGAAACTTTGTGCTCTGTTGGCTTAGAGGCCTTAATCCCCATGAAAGGAATGCACCCATCAAGGGACACAAAAATGTCTCATTCAATTGTAATTTGAAACTATAACCTGGTAATTTTGGGCTCCTCATGCCATTGAACTAACATAAGAGAGGTGAATCAGTCAGCCATTGCTGCAGTAATAACTGAATAATAAAAACAACCACAAAATATCAGAGGCATATAACAATGAATATTTACTTTTTGCTGATGGGTCTGCAGATCAGTTGGGGCAGCTCTGCTATCAGACTACAGGTCAGCTTGGCTACACATGCCTCATTCTGCCGTCTGGCTGAAGTGGCTACCTGTGGCATGCCTCTAAAGTCTTAGGCTTGGAACTGGTACGTCATTTCTGCTGTATGTCATTGGCCAAAGAAAGCCTCAAGACCAAGGCCAAGGATACATATATTCAACTTTTCTAATCCCTGGGCTTTGAATTTCTAACTAGTTCCTATGG